AAGGCGATATTACTAAATTAGAAAATTATAGACCCATCAGCCTCTTGACACATATGTACAAACTCTTTATGAAAATCTTAACAAAGAGGCTAACACCTAAACTTGATTTCTATCAGCCCAAAGAACAGGCAGGCTTCAGGGCAGGATATGGCACAAATGACCATTTGCATACCATAAAGATCTTAATAGAAAAGTGCATCGAGTACAACATACCACTGGTTCTTGCATTTGTCGATTACGAGAAGGCTTTTGATTCTGTAGAGTTTGAAACAATACTGGAAGCCCTAAATCAAAGCCGAATAGATTACAGGTACACGACACTAATCAAAAACATCTATCAGAACGCTACATCAAGTATACGACTGCACGAAGACACAGAAAAATTCAGCTTAGGACGAGGAGTTAGACAAGGAGACAATATTTCACCAAAATTGTTCACGGCAGCTCTAGAGTCAATATTTAAGGGTGCTCAATGGCAAGATATGGGCATCAATATAGATGGAGAAAGATTAAATCACCTAAGGTTTGCAGATGATGTTGTATTAATCGCAGATAACTTACATGATACAGTTACTATGATGCATTCGCTTAAAAGTCTGTCTGAAAGAGCAGGATTAAAGATAAACTTTGAGAAAACTAAAATTATAACAAATCTCGTAATGAGTGGAAATATAACTATTGACAATAATACCATACAACAAACAGACACTTACAAATATCTGGGACACGAAATCAAAATAAGCAGAGACAATCAAACACATGAAATACAGAGGCGAATAGGTCTAACATGGGCTGCATTTGGCAAATTAAGCCATATTCTAAAAAGTTCAATTCCCATGTGTCTCAAGCGAAAGGTTTATAACCAATGTGTTTTACCTGTACAAACTTATGGAGCAGAGACTTTAACACTCACGCAAAAATCTGCGAATAAACTTAGAGTTACACAACGAGCCATGGAACGTGCAATGCTAAACGTGAGCCTTCGAGACCACATAACAAACCAACAAATTAGACGAAGATCAGGAGTTCAAGACGTCATCGAAAGAACCACGACGCTTAAGTGGAACTGGGCAGGGCACTTAGCCAGAACACAAGATGGACGGTGGACAAGACGTATTATGGAATGGAGGCCCAGAAATTATAAAAGAAGCCGAGGACGACCACCGACTAGATGGACCGATGACATTAAACGTGTAGTGGGAAACTGGCTACAAGCGGCCCAGTGTAGAGAACACTGGAAAGAATTGAGGGAGGCCTATGTCCAGCAGTGGACGCGATTGGCTGATTGATGATGAGATATTAAAAAGTAGAGGCGATAAAATACACCCCTGCCGCACTCCACGTCATATTTCCACTGCTTCTGTCGTATTTTGACCAATTCGTTCGTATGTTTGCATATTGATTGATTTGCCAATACAAATTTTTGATAATACGGAGGTCTTGGTCTTCAATTCCCACCTGTTTCAAGGCACGTATCATTTTGTCGTGGGTGAGTCGGTCAAAGGCCTTTTCGGAGTCGATAAAACACATATACTGGTTCTATATCCCTACATTTTTGAACCAGGACCTGCAAACTGAATAATGCTTCTCTGGTTTCAAAGTTATTTCTGAAATCAGATTGTTTATTCCTCTGCTTTATATTGTCAGGTAGCCTCCATTATCACGTTTTTTTTTTTAAATATTGAATTGTGAAGACACACATTTCTTACAAAAACTATTCGAGTTGTTGATAGAAATAAAATATACCAATTGCTTAATCAGATTGTTTTAGGATTGTTTATATTACAAAAACTTTGTAATATTAAAAATACATACATCACCCTGTAAAGAGGAATAAAATTTTCTGACATTTGTACTCCATAAATGCAAGGTCCATTGGTTTCGTGTTTTTGAAATAATATTCATTATAAACTATTATTTAAATTAAAAATCAGTGAGCCATTTACCGGGGTGGGGGGACGGAAGCTTTCAATGAAACACCAACCAAAAAAAGATCCACCCAAACGACATAAATACTTTTTCTTTAATTTTAGACTTTGTGTATGTGTGGGGGGTTTCCCCACCAGTGTATCCGCCCCTGGTTAAAACAATTGAAATTATTATTCTAAAATTACCGTTTGGAAATTTATAAGTAGTTGGTTATAATATGACGACGTAGAGATATCCTCCATGACGAACTGTGGACTTACACGGGAATAATGTATAAACACTATCTAATACATTTACTTAATTCAGATTAAGCCAAACATAATATGGTTTAGAATCTCTATATAATTAAGAATTGTCTATAGTAATTTAGTGAACTAGTATAAATGGATTCATTTGATTTATTGAAACTTCTCAAGGTTTTTACCGAATTGGCTGATAATGTTGATACATTCCAGTTAATGTGATATAATTTAAACATTTTATGCGATGTAAAAGTCGAACATAAAAAGTGCTATAAGTAGAAAAAATTAATTGAATTATGGTACTTGTATAAAGATTTAATTATTTATAGTAGATAAAACAAGATCCGTATATACAGTATCATAGATGTTTGTCGCCAAAGAAAACAGCATATTTTGGAAGTTATTTTAGGTCGATATTGTTGGGTTAGGTTAGGGTCAATAAGAGTGGGAGCTTAACCACTCCACTCTACCTAAGAGGTCTATTGTGGGTTATCTCTAGGTTAAAGTTGTCCTCTCAGCCCAGCATTTTAATAAAAGTCTATTATGGTCTTTGATGACACTTCTACGAAGTTGTAGGGCTCCAGTTGCTAAAGGAGGAAATACACCATTCAATTCGGTTGAACAATGTGAATGATTCAACCAAAATGAACTATGTATTTTGCAATTCAATAAAAGCGTTCAACAAAATTGAACGTTGAAATAAGTTGAGATAATTTCTACTTTCGTTCAATTTCGTTGTACAACTGGGATGATTCATCCACATTGACTCGTCTATACAAGTTTTGTCGATTGTGTTCGATTCAACCGTTTATTTCATCGAGTTAGAATCGTTTTATTTTGACTTGTGATATTATAAGTTCCGTACGTACGTTTTGAATCATCCACATTGTTCAACCGAATTGAATGAAGAAAAAATTGAAGCGTGTGTATGCTTTTCAATTTGATAGCACAATGTAATTGAATCATTCTCATTGTTCAACCGAATTGAATGGTGTATTTCCGCCTTAATGCTCAATTGTATTGAACCTAATCCTATTCAATCATGTGCATTTTCTGTCAGTCCGATTTTATTCATATGTCCCTTCGGGCGACAGTACTCTGTTAAGAGAACTACGATAATTCGAAGATCATACCTATCCATATGTAGTATATATTACAATCTCTTCTTCGAATATTCGCGTATACAACCCTTCGAATATTTAGGAATCATTTATTTATGCCAATCCTTACGTTCTTTTTGATGTGCTTCTTGCTATGCCAACGAAAGGTTCTGGCTCTATGAATGCTTCTATTGTCTCTCCTGTGGCAAGTCGGTCCGTTTTTTCGTTCCCTTCAAAACAACTACATCCAGACACCTAAAGTAAACTTATTTTGATATGTTTGGTACATAATTTTTATAGATCTGTCCTTGCAGCTCCTCTTTATTAGCTCCTGCAGGCACATAGCATAAATTTCTGATTGGAAGATAGTGGAGTGATTACCTGGGTTTTCACTAAGGCTTATCCTTGGTTTCGTATACTTCAGCTACAACTCCTTCATCAGATTTAGTCTGTATGAGGACCGCTTACCGAGAGAACCATATTCTTTTATGACTTTCTCTCCTAATCATTCAAGACACTCCTCTCTAAATAACTCATCGGATTTGGTGATACTCATTTCTATATTAAACTTTTCCTAATCATATTAACTGTCGGTTTTTTGTTTCAGTGCAACCACAATTTATCTTTGAGTTTCAATGGTAATTTTCTATCAACATTTTCCACTGACCCTTTTCAATTGTATTGCCACCTCCATGTTAAAAAAATATGGCTGATCTATTACATTTAAATAGTTTCTCAAAATATGTATCGTCATTTCGTGTCTGTTCCTCGAATTACTTTCTAGTAATTCCCTAACACCTTAAACCTTGCTTGCAAAAAACATCTCAAATAAACAACTTCAAGATCAATAAATACCAGTCAATGTTTGTATCACATCCATAATATCTAACATATGCAGTTTTCCTTTATTAAGAGAGTTGGTAGATGCCGTATACTATGTATGGCCTATTATGATTACATCTATAGTTAAATTTTACTGTACATATATTAAGGTAAATGCACAAATTTCAAAATATACACGTGCGCTAACAAAAATAATTATAAAGTGAAAGTTTCCAGTGGTCAACTGTATACAATTGTTTAAAAACTTACAATGAAAACACTTTTGGTGTAATTGGTATTTATAAAATTACCAAAATTATGAAAATATCTAGAAGGATTATAACTTTCTCACAACGTTTTCGGTAAAAAAAAATAAAATTAAAAGTAAAAATTTAAATATTTGCAAATAGCCACTTTAAAAAAGTGATTAAAAAATAGTTAATTAAAGTATTTATGTAATCGTCTTCCGTTTTTGATTACCTGTATGTGGGTCCATATCAATATTTCTATGTAGCTTGTTCTGTAGCAGGGAAAGGCTGTTAGGTCACAATAATTTGAGTAAAAATTTATCTAGTATCTACAACGTACCCGAGTTAAAATAAATAACCGTCTGCTCTTGAAAAAATTACCTACAAAGGCAGCGAAATATTGAGATAGACTCACATAACTACGGGTAGTTAAGAAAACTCACAACCTGGAATAAGTTCATTCTGACTCTGGCTGTGTAAGCTTTAGATTTCATTCATTCCAGTACCTACTATTTGTTTAACAACAATACATTCCGTTTGCTACTAACTTGTGTTTTAACTAAAATTGCTCTTTATCTGTGATGTCAGCGTGTAAGTATCGCAAAATCTCTCTATATGTTTTTTTCAAAAGTACTGATATATTTTTTAATTTTTCACAGTACCCCAAAAATTGTGCCGAATGTAAAAAGCTCGTCATGAAGACAAACCGAGCGGAGTTTGCAGTGATAAGAGTGCCTTCCCCACCAGGAATGGATTTTTAAATATTTTTTTTTAAACCAGTCTGTGGATGTAAACGTTAATTATTTTTATTACTAACTGGATTACCCATATAACATAAATGTTACGGTTTCTACATTTAAGGAAAAAATTATTCTTTTGCGTTTGAAAATTTCAGCTATTTATTGAGAAGCATACATACGATATTCACTTAACCTAACGTATTCTTATCTTAGGTTTATAATCATTTAACTAAAAATACATTTTTTCTAACGTAGTTTTTGCGTCATTTGTATCTTATGATACATTCTATAATTTAGGACTTGGTACTATAATTAGATTCTCAACATACCTAACTCTACAGTTATCTTTTATTTTTCGGAGTTTTAAAAAATATTATGTAGTATGCTATAAGCGACTACTTATATGTTGTATACTTTTTTAACCGAATATTGTCATTTGCTGACTTTTAGTCATGAAGTATGTTTTGTATGCCATTATCTTAATACTTTTTCGTAACCAACGACACCATCTTGGTAAATCATCAACTGTTAATAGACCAAGGTGTTCCATGAACAACATCTGTCGATTGACAATAGCAAAACTGTTATATCGATTTTTATACCTTGTAAATAGTTATCTATATAAGAAACAAAGTTTGAATTTTGCAATGGGAATGTTGACTAAAACTATTAAAAGTGCTTTTTTCAATACTAACTGCCACTATTTTTTCTAAAATGTAAATAAATTGAAAAAATTTTATACTAAATTTTCGGTACGAAATTTGATATTGCTCAATAATTGTGAAGACAAACATTTAGAATTCTATCAATTCACAGACTGGTTATTTTTTTATTTTTTAAGTAATTTATGTTTCTTTTTTGTTTATTTTATTTATTTTTAATTAACCACTAGCATGACATTTCTTAACCCAAAAGATCTATTTCTAACGCTTTAATTCTTTTTCAGTTGGAGAATCCGTTGTTGATAGATGGTAAAGCTGCATCAAAATGGCTCCATGCTTTTTAAAAAACTACCTTATATAATATATTATTTTGAAAAAAGACTCCGCTGGCTTTTAATTTTTATTACGTTTTTTTGGAAGTCCCCAGCTTCCGATTCCCGTTTTTCCGCTAGTTGAGTCGCAATTTATTTTTTTAAGACTTATTAGTAAAATTTTCGAAAGCTTTATTTTTTATTTGCTCCTATTTTTCGTTTTTCGATTCAACCTGAAACCTGTGATTTGGTTTAAAGGCACGTTTATTTAATATAATAAGGTCTTTGTATGAATCCCTGGTGTCAGTTCAAAAATAACAATTTACTTACGAAATTATATGATCAGTAACAACAGCATTGTGATAAAATGCCGTATACTATGCGGATGGTAATATTGGAAGGCACAAACACAGTAAATGTCAAGAGTTCGGAACTAGCACTGGAGTTGTCATACACAGACTTAGATTAATAACGAAATGTACATATATCTAAGGTTAAATTAAAAATTGTTATTGTTTTTGCTCCCAACGTGGTGTAAAACGTTAAAATCTACCTTTTGAGATCAGCACGGACCGAGATTCAAAAGAGAGGGGGATGTAGCCTCCTCGCCCTCCCCCTGATTGTTGTTGCGCCACGTTGTTCGTTAGTTTAGTTCATATTTCAGCCACGAGTGTTATTAAGTGGCTTCATTTGGTTCATTTCAGTTTTAATTTAAAGGCCTTTAGTTGACCGTTACCATTGCCACGCCCTCTATTAAAGTAACTATCGTCTGGGCTGCTGACAGTGCTAAAGATCGAACAAAGGCAGCCATTCTTTTTTGGAAAGATATAGACGGTTTGAGCTGGTCTCGACTGAGTTTGGCTGCACTTGTTTAGGCAGCCAATGTATAGTTATACATTGTAATTTACATCAGTTTTGTAAAACAAGATTATTTGTGTAAATAAAGTTGACGGCTTTCTGGCTGTCTTAAGTTACATGTTTTTATTATTACCCTTCAATAGCACAGATGCTAAAACTGCTTAACTGTATAAATCACAAACGACTTGAAGATTTTTTACACAATAAACTGGTATTAAAGGATGTTACACAAAGAAAACAAACAATGGAACAATATGAATTGAAACTTTTTTGTGGAATTCCAATTTGCGCCAGTTAACCAGTTATGTAGAAAAAATTGGTTCAAAAAGTAAGTGCATTTTATTTAAAAATAATAGCCAAATTCTCATAGCCACTTGGTGGACGTTCCTGAGTGTGAATTTCAGATAGACATAATAATATTTATCAGAGATTGTATGTCATTCTATTTTACTTCAATTATCCGAAATCGGACTGGCCTATAGAAATACTGATAAAAGAACATTTGTGTACAGGTTGGTGATATTTTCTTCATTGCTGCATGTGACGTTCCAGAAACCAAGCAAGTATTGCAATATTTATAAACAATTGTCTAGTTTTTTGTTATCAACCCACCAATAAGAAAATAATTAATTCGGCCAAGAGCTCTAGGCTTTTGGCAATCCAATATAAACAACACATTTTACAATATAAGTTTATTATTGTATAAATTATTAATAATAATTCTTACCCCTCCGGTAACACCGAATCTTCAACACCCACATCTTATGTTGCTGCCATGAAATCTAGGCCCAAGCCTTCATTTATCACTTGAAAAGAAAACTTAAAACTATTCGACTATGTAAAATCTACTGGTGATTTTGTTTGCCCTAAAAAATATAATATTTGCATCTTGAACAACCGGATCTGCATATACCTAAGCAAAGTTGAACTATTAGTTTCCCATTATTAAATTAAACGCTCTAAACTTACCTATTCGGAGAATGGTTACTCCAGCAAAACGTATCATAATTTTGAATGTCTATCCCTCAATTCCCCACGATCTCGTAGAAAATGCTTTGAATTGCCTTAGTTTAAAACTCGCTTCTCCCGTCTCTTTCTTAAAAGCTGGAATTCAAGGAGATGAATATACTTGTAAGGCTGTTTGTTCGGGCTGTTGTCTTCTGTGATTAGTTCTCAACGTTTCGCCAACACTAGGGGTTGGCATCTTCTGGAGATGTTACTGCTTCGCTTGTAAGCTGAAACTGACGCCGCGTTGTACTACGAAGGCCATATTTATATTTTCTACTCGCCTCCCCTCAACTGGTTTCGGCGTGAGGGGTCGTGTAGTCGTTTGTATTAGCTTTTCTTTCTTCGTGATTTGCGGGAAGGGTGGTTGCGGATTTTAATATTGGTATCCATGTTTTGTTGATTTTTAGTCCTAACCGATTGAAATTATTTGGGTGCTTATATATTTCCACCGCTTCCCGATATAACCTTGGGTAGTACTGTGATGTTGTATCCAGCATCTGCGTTTCTTCAAACAGTATCCGATGTTCTCCGCTTCCCAAAGCGTGTTCGGCAAATTTTTAGATATGTCCTAAACGACAATGGCTTTTATGTTCGTTTATCCTTGTGTTTGTGTGTCTTTTCGTGGTTCCCACATATACCATTCCACATGTATATGGTATTCGGCATACTCCGACCGTTGCTAATGGGTCGCTCCATGAAAATCTTGGCTATGACCGGGCTTGATGGGCTTCCTATTGCTACTCCATCTATCTGTTCATAGATCTGGTCTTTCCATGAAAAGTAGGTGGTAGTGAGGCAAATATGGTATAATTCCACCATATCCTTGAAAACTAGTCCCTTAATTAAATTCAGAACGTCTTCTAGGGGAACTCTTGTAAATAGGAAAACAACATCAAAGCTAACAAGACTGTCAGATTCCTGTAAAGTTATTCCTTTGATCTTCTCGATGAAATGGGCGGAGTCTTTTACAAATGCGTCGTTTTTTCCTATATGTGATTGTAAAATGTCAGCCAGATGTTTAGGAAGGTTATACGACGGAGATCCTATGGAGCTCACAATAGGGCGTAGAGGTACATCTTCTTTGTGTATTTTCAGTAAGCCATACAAGCGTGGTGGGACTGCTTCGCTTTTGCATATCCTTGGTTTTATATCGTCTGGTATGAACGAAGATTTTATAAGTCTTTTGATTTTCCGTAGGGTGACTGCTGTGAGATTTTTTTAAGTTTTTTATATACCGTAGGATCTAGAAGATTTTGTATTTTCTTTTTGTAGCAGGTTGTCTTCATTACGACGATGGCGTTTCCCGTGTCTGCTGGTAAAATTAAAACATCTTTGTTTGCGTTTAACGATTTTATGGCACGGATTTCTTGGTGGCTCAGGTTATTTTTCAGTGTCTTAGATTTATGCAAAATTCTCGCTGATTCTGTCCTTATTTCTTCAGCCTTTTCGATTGGTAAGTTGCGAATCGCAGACTCGATGATATCTTCTTTGGGTATAACTTTAGGTGCAATCGCAAAATTTCCCCCTTTGGCTAGCAATGATGTTTCGGATGGAGTTAAAACTTTATCTGAAATGTTGACCACTGTCCTTTGTGTTTGTTGTTTTGATTCTACCTCCTTATGTTTAGTTAAGCGTTCGTATTTATTTTTCTGGCGTTCAATGCTTTCATTTGTGTACGTCAATGTTTTCATTTGTGATGTTAATTCCTAAATAGATAAAGTTATCTACTTTTTCTAAGTTGTCAACTGTTAGGTACGGTCATGTTGCTTTCTCAGATTGACTTTGTAATAGGATTTTAGTCTTTTTTGTGTTTTTTGATGATATACAAGGCAAATATCGAACACAGTATTAATTAAATCTTGCCCAAGTACTTTCGATCACTAGATCATCCTCAGGGGCATTTTGTCAGTTGCGGCCTATCCGAAAAGAGTAGAATGTCATAAATATAAAATGGGACATAAACACTACACAAAGACAAACACTTTAAAATTTTGAAGATAGGCGAAGCTACATGGTATATAGAAGCCGGAGATAGAATGTCTGCCTGATGACAGAATGAATTGAAATGAGACTTGAAATATCTCAAGAATCCGTAAAAACGATTTCTGTAAAACTATTAGCTGTCTGAAAATGAATGCACACCACTCAAAAACTGTCTCTAAAGTGCTTAGTAGGAGCTTCAGTATAATTCCTAAGTTATATTGGACTAATTCAAGAGCCACGGGCTTCTAAAGGACTTCCCAAAGAACTCATGTAAGTTGATTTATTTACAAGTGCATGACACACTAAGAGCATGTCTGCGTATTTAAAACTCAATTAAATTTGCTCCTGTGCCAAACTTCATCACTGGAAATCTTGCAACGGCAGAAGTGGAAATTCTAACCGAAATTAGATAAAAGGTATATTATAATAGCCTCTGTCTTCTTTTCCTAACAAAGAATACCGGTGACAAAGATTACCCTTTGCCAGAGATGGTAAACAAAATTAAAAAGTAACAGAAATAACAGATAGCTTATTATTGAATGCGACGCATTCCCAAAACACTATACGAAGCAGCACAGACACAAACAAACGAGGTGTGCTCTTATTAGAATATTTATCTTCTCCTAACATACACATTATTAACAAATGTAACACATCTACATTTATCACTGCAAAAAAAGAGATAGATACTGGATATCCCCGTAATTAGTTGCTTTACTAAAGATAAAATTCAGAACTAGCATGTCTGTGATGAGGCCTCAATGTCGGATCACGGAATGCTGTGTTTCGAGGTTGCGGCGAAATGTAAGCTTTTGATCTTATACCAAACATACAGACGTTTGTTGAACGATAACAACAACGAAACATTGAGAGAGAAAAACCGACATATTCAAAACAAAACGTCAGCAAAATATATTCCGTTATATTTTAACAGGCATTATATATACATGTTACTTGTGTTGACTCAGATCTCAGACCATCTGTATAATTTTTATACTTGTTAATCAATATAAACATTTGGCTATACTGAGATACCCTACAGGTATAAAAGTAAACTAATTTATTAAACCTGTACCTGTTAAATACACATGTAAAAATTGTGAAGTTTTTACTTGCTTCAAGTTGAGAAGCCACGAACGAAGTCTGACTACCGTGCTTCTTTGAAAAGTTAGAGAGGAAGTAGTTTAGGGTAGTGGTTTATATAGTTTAAATGTTAATAACTGACAGGTGCAGGAATAATGACTATAGGTCTTTAATTTATTTAGATGCGAAATTCAAATATTTTAATAATTTGCGAATAATTTGAAAAATATTTTCCCAATAATCTGGTACAATATGACTATGTTAGAAAGCGTTTCCAGTCACCCACACTACCGACCATTTCAACAGGGGAAGAAGAAATAATAGAATTGTCCTATGATTCCAGCCTAAAGCTTCAATATGACAAGGACAAACTGTTTGAATTTTGGATCTTAGTTTCTCATGAATACCGTGCCAATCAGCAATGCAGCATAAACTCTCATTACCATTTACGACTTCGTACTTGTGCGAAAAATGCTTTTTGGCAGTTGCAGTAACAGGTTAAAATAGATGTAGAGAAAACAAAGTGACAATTTCCAAACTGGAGCCTTGATTTCAGATACTACTGTTAGATTCTCAGTTAGATAAATATTTTTTTATTTTTAGGTTTGTTTTGATTTTGGTAATATTTTCTAATGAAAATTATAAATGTCCAAATAGTATTTTTCTGTTAACTTGTTACTAGCCTACTACTAAGATTGTTAAGTAAAATTTTTGGGGGCTGGGTTGAGGGGCGTCACAGAAAAAAGTCCCAAGGGTGTCACAGTATAAATAAGTTTTGGGAAGCCCTGATGTAATCTATTTGATTCTACACATTTTCATCTACATTAGAAATCCATGTGCAAATAGCCAGGCATTTTCATGAATCAGCCTGAAAGTGAAATCAATCGAGCAGGGCCATCTTAGAAACACTTGGGTGCATTTGTTAACTAATATAGAGGCGTAAATATTGTGAAAGCAAGTAAAGAGCAAGAGCAAACATCTCATGGGGCTAATGCTAACAAATTGTCTTCTTAAACTGTCGTTTCTCTTGTTTTCTAATATAAATGCGACATAGAAACTCATGAAAATTTGAAAAATAAAGCTAATAATGCTATTAAAGAGATAAGGCTGCACTATTGTGTCTATATTATATATGAGCAATCGAATAGTAAATGTCAATTGATTAAAGAAAAACCTTAAGATTAAATGAACTACACTATACAGGTGGCTTGGAAAGATGGCAACATAACTTTTCAGAGCTGCGAGAGCCAATTAATATTTCACAGTGGATCAAAGAGGAACCAGAAAGATTTTGTATGTTACTTCAAATAGGACAATAAAGCTTTTTCTTTTTTTACTTTTTAAATAATTCGGTCATATTCTTATATACTTGGGCTCTATGTTTTGTTATTTGGACATTAAAATTTAAGTTCTGATAGTTCATAATGGAGAGTGCATAGTGTCTAAGAATCACATTGAATAATTTGGTTGAAAATATTTAAAAATATATTTAGAAATGGTTTGTAACATTGTTGACAGCTTTAGATCTCCAAAGGTGTATTATAAAAATATAAAATTTGCAAATTATTGTTGTTAAAATTTAAAAAAGTTCAATTATTTCATTAAAGGTAATATGTGTATTAATATCAACAGTTAAAAATATATTTGTAATATTAAAATTATTATTAGTGTTGATTTTTCAGGAACTTGTTTATATTTTACCAGTTTAGTTAAAGAAAATACATATATACAATACATTTACATGACCATGGAGTTTTTCATGGTAATCTTTATAATGTTCTTTAAAATAAAAACTTCAATAAAACACTTTACATAGTGAAAACAATTATATTAAAATATTGGTAATACAATTTAGAGATAACATACTTTTAATTCTAATCTTGAATATTCTGTTGGCTTAAAATCTTGGCAACTTCCTTTTCATTTGTACACTTTGACTTATAGCAAATTGAGCCTGTGTCACAAATAACCTTACTTGGAACTCCCAACAAATGATCATAACTGCACTTATCTCCTTCTTCTAAAAGTTGATAAAAAATTGCAAAAAATTCATTTTCTTATATGATAGCTTATATTTGTATTATTTTACATACTTCCATTGTTTAAACTTTAATGAAAGTGAACAAGGTGTACATTGGGAGAGTAGGTATTAAACTTAGGTGATAATGATGAAAAATAACTAAGTAATATGAATGGATAAAATGACAACAAATGTAAATAAATTAGTGTACCTATATTGCACTATAGACAAAATTAGACTAGTGCTCAAAACTATCAAGTAATATCACCAAAAGTAGTAGCATAAGAGCTTAGAAAAAAGAGGATCTAAATAAAACATTTAAACAGAAGTTCAAGCAAATGAGCAAATAAATAAAACTACAGAAGAGATATTCATTCTGGAATATATCAAGGAGCAGCAATTGAAATACTGTGGACATTTTTTCTGGTACCTCCCATCATACCTTACTAACTTCTGGACATTCTTATGTAGCTTTAATTGATAGACAACTCTAATATGTTTGTGAGCCCTTTATAATTTCCCATAATATATTCTTATTTCAGTATCATCATCACCAGCAGTGCTACTGCCCTAGTTGAGCCTCAACCTACCCAAATCTATTTCACCAGTCATTTCTGATAATCAACTATGTCCTTGTCCACACTGCCCCTCCTGCATATTTCATATTTTTTTCTCCCATTATTTGAAAATTATGTATCTCTATAGCTTACAATGATTTCATCATGTTCTCTAACTTGTGGCATCACATCAAAGCAGTGGTTGTTCATATGGCAATGTATTGCAGTTTTTACAGTATTGTGTGTTCATATGAACATTCTTCATTCAGACAAAAAACAAAGAGCCATTTCTCTAGATATCAACAATACTTACAGTTTCACTGTAGTTATGACATAAGATTTGAGTTTGATATATCATAAAACAAAATATACCAAAATAATTTAAAAATAGCTAAGAAATGAAAATAAAATTTTTGTACACATACATAGTTTTCTCCACACAAATAGCTCTTGTTTCACTAAAGAAATTAAAGAATAGATTTTTTTAGTTAAACTTATGTGTAATTATATAAAACACAGTCTCTACCTGATACAAAATGCGAATTCCATACTCTATGATGTACATAATGTAATTCTATGTATATTGTATACAACACTATTTATACAGAAAGAAAGAATACTGTCAAAACATATAGTATGTTGCCCTTGTAAATGGCACATAATTATATACATATATCTAGGACCTACACTGAGGTGCAAAATTAACCAGACACTCAACTTTTTTTGTTTTTTCTTGGTGTTTAGATCAAAACTTGTTTAAACTGTTTGAATTGTAGTTTGTGCCTTATTGGCGATAACATTTTTTCTTGTTTGAAACTGTTTAGATGTTTTGTGGGAACAACAACAATTTTACACATATGTTTTGTTATTAATGTGAAATAGGGGTTAAGTATTAATTTAATTTTATTGCGGATGTACCTGATTATAAGTTCAGCTGTAGGTTTTGTATTCTCTCCTGGATAAAACCTAGATTAAAAAAAAATATGGGCGGAGCAATTGTTACATCGCAAAAGCTTTAGGAATTTCTCAAAGTACAATGTACAACGCACCAGGAGGCCAGGTCAAGGTAGACGAAGAACCACAAGTCAAGTTGAAGATTGCCTTTTTAGGTTACAAGCGTTACACGATCGTACATTATCAGTACCAGTACTTATTCAATGATTAAAAAATGATGTCCATAGAAACACAGTTTCCATTTAATACCGTTTGAGGACGCTTAAATAAATATGGATTAAGGTCCAGAATACCTGTCACGCGATTTCTATTAACAGCAGATCATTGGAGGAACCATTTACACTTCGCTTACAAACATCTTAATTGGGGTGTTAAAATATTTAACAGATACTCATCAGATGAGCGGTCTAGGATATATAGAAGAGCTGGTGAATATTATCAGCAATGTTGTTTTACTCCGAGAGTTCAGTTTGGTGGAGGTGGTATAATGGTGTGGGCAGCTAGAGGCTCATACACAACTTGTTACAATTCAAGGGGACAATTTGAATGCTCAACAGTATATTCAGCAATGTTTGAAAGATCATGCAGTGTTATTTGCCTCATTTGTTGGAGAAAACTTTCGTTTGATGCAAGATAATGCTTGTCCAACCATCGCAAGAATAATACGGGATTACTTGGATGAAGTTGGGATTTGTTTATTACCATGGCCCCCAAGGAGTGTAGACTTAAATCCAATAGAGCATGCATGGGATATCCTGAAACAACATACTCAACGTAACCATATTGAGTTTAAAACCATAATGATTTGGAGCAAGCAGTTCATGATGAAAAGGACAAATCCCTCAACCAGACTTTGCTGCCTTAGTATGCCTGATCGAATAAGAGCTGTAATTAGGGCTTGTGGAGCTAATACACTCTACTAAATATCATTTTTCATAAAAAATGTTTATATTTAAAAAAATAATAATTTGTGTTTCTTTGCAGATTTTCAATTTTTTAAAATGTTTATTGGTTTTTCTGTGTAACATTCTTGAGTTGTAATAAATTTGACTTTTAAATTTTGTTTATTATTAAATACTCAATTAGGAACATCTTAAACTTTTCTAAATGCCAGTTTTTAGGAAAAATCTGAGTGTCCGGTTAATTTTACACCCCAGTGTATGATTTAAAGTTGAATTTGAACAAGTGATTATAAACTAGTTCTAGGTGAATTACTACTAGGTGATTTGTGGTTCTTTGTTTGTAAAGGAGTTAATCTAATCATTTAATAATGTAGGATCAAGAGACTGATGTTTTTATTTTCTTTAGAAATTATTATTCAAGAATGTGGTTAAGGTATTTTATTGGTTAAGATATTGTAAACAACATTTTCTTCTTCAACAAAGTAAAGTTTGAATTTTTATAAGACAACTGAAACTGTACAAAGTGATAAACATAGATATGGCTTGAAACATTATAAATCTAACAATCTACAAAACAATATTATTCTACAATTGATTGTAATTACTAAAGTTAGGAAAGTACTCATGAATGTTAGCATCCTCAAGGTAGATCCTATCTATATAGAAATTGAACCTAAAACCTGAACCCTTAGAAAAATTTAACTCTACACAAATATTAACTAATTAATATATTTCAATTTCAGAAATAAATACAAGAGTATATACTTACTCAATACTGTGAGACATGTATCACAACAATTACATGACCAATGTGAAACAGGTTTTTGTCCATCTGGACATGAAACCTTTTCACATACTATTTTTTCATCACAAGGTGGACAAACAATGGAGTTTCCAAAATGAATTGTAGATAATAAAATTAAAAATATACTTGCGGCAATCATGTTTAATATTTTATATTATGTATTTTGTATTTAACTAAGATTCAGAACACGATTTTAACTTATCTCTATAAGTTTTTGTTTTTACACTATGTGTTATCTTTGTTTATGTATATACCAATGTGAATTTGAATTGTTATCTCAATTTACGTACATGTAATTTCCGAATTATTTTGTATATTCTATTATTTTTTTTTTATTTTGATAACATATTTATTAAAATATTTATGACAACTGACAACAGCCAGAGCCAGAACAGCCTGGACAATAACAAATTTAAGTCTTCTCTTTTTGCTGTTTAGAAAATTCTTCTTCTTTACGTATCCTCTCCTCTCAGAAGTTTGGCAACCACCATAGCGATTCGAATCTTCGACGCAATGAACTAAACAGTTCTTTTGAATTTGAACTTCATTTGAACCACATTCTTTTATTATTTATCCGAAATGTATCTTTTCCTCGGTTTCTTCATCCTTGTATATTCTACAGCATGCTCACCTGTAACAGTTCGTAGAGCTCACCTCTCATACATTGGCCTAAATATTTTATCGTTTTAATTTTGATAGTGTTTACACCGAGTGTTTAGGACTTTTTTGTTCGCTAATTCTTATTTAGAGGGTTTTGACATTACACTTATCAGAGGTCCAAATATTTTTTCAAATACAGTGAAATAATCTTGTACACTAATAAACTATTTTGGGGAGTTTTATATATTTACAAATGTAGTAAGAGGGGTTTAAAGCTGCTTTCACTCTCTGCTTTGAAAGCAGCTTTAAAATAGTCTAAGAATGGTAAAGTCACAGGTCCAGACGAAGTACCCGTTGAACTTATTAAGGTGATGAGTGAAGTGAGCAAAAAGGAGTTAATTGAACTGTTTACCGCATATACGATTCAGGTAATATCCTAGAGGAATGGCTATTGTCAACATTTGTAACACTACCAAAAAAACAATCTGCGAAAACGTGCGAAGATTTTCGAACTATCAACCTTATGAGTCATGCACTTAAGATTTTTCTTAAAATCATACATGCCAGAATTTACAAGAAATGCGAAAAAATGTCGCGAAATGCAATTTGGATTCCGCAATTCCATGGGTACACGTGAAGCACTTTTCACGTTACAAGTCCTACTTCAAAGATGTCAGTTGCGATGTCTATATTTATTTTATTGACTACGCCAAGGCATTTGACCGTTGTCGGCACCAGAAGATGGTCGCCGCCCTACAGAGAGTAGGATTGGATGAGAAGGACATTCGATCATAATGAATTTATACTGGTCGAAAACCAGCTGACCGACCAAGTTAAAATCATGCGAGGAGTAAGGCAAGGCTGTGTGCTTTCGCAAACACTTTTCAATATATACCCTGAGGAAATTTTTTCTAGAACCCCCACAAACCTAGAAATGGGAATTTGAGTGAACGGTGAATACATCAATAATATCTGACACTGTGTTACTAGCAACCAGCCTAAATTATCTACAACCCTTACTAGACCGAGTGAGAACTGTGAGCGTAATATACGGATTAGATATTAATATTACGAAATCTAAATTGATGGTTGTCAGCCGTGCAAATTTATCCACAGCCGTGCATATTTATCAAGTTGAGATCCTTGCTGTGCTGCGATGCGGACAGTGAGGTGTTAAAAAAAAAGAAGAAAAAGAAAACGAAATGCTTAATTTAGTGAAACAACGTAAGCTTGAGTACCTAGGCCACGTGATGCGGAACGAAGAAAAATATCGAATTCTTCAACTCGTTATGCAGGGTAAAGTATTTGGCAGGAGAGGACCGGGACGCCGTCGTATCTCGTGGTTGAAAAACCTCCGACAATGGTTTGGAATGACCTCTGCGCAGCTGTTTCGCAGAGCAGTCAACAAAACCATGATAGCCTTGATGATCGACATCATCCGGACCGGATAAGACACTGGAGAAGAAGAAGAAGAAGTAAGAGGGTACGACCTCTAAAAACTTAAAAGGGTCTCGCCGGTTAAAATAGTTAAAAAGAATCATAGCAATATTCCAAAAATAAGAATACCGTGTTGTTCTACATCAAAAAGTATTCGAGCAAAATTTTTTTTAGACCCCTAGCCTTCTATACTAGGTGCTAGTCCCATAGATGTATATATTGCCACAGAGCGAGCAGTCTGTAGAGCTAAATTACGACACCATCTTTGTTTTCGTTGTTAGTTGTGTCTCTATCTTAAATCAAGCAAGTATAGCAGCATTTCTTTTTGGTTGGAGATAGCGAGTGAGGAGTTTTAATGCAATACAAAGAGAAGGACAGATCAAACAATGGTAAAAATGTTGTTGTCACTGCTGCTGCTATGGCTAGCCCTGCTAGTCCCATAGACATATAATACAAGATAGACTGACTGATGTAAAATAGTCGCGTTCCTCCAGTTTATCGACCACGTGACCTTCCCATTTGTCATTTAGGTCACGTGGTAGATAAACCTGTTATATTATAAAGATATGCAGGGACTGCTTGCTTCAGTCATCTACAACAGTGACTTCCCTAACCCCCGTAACACCAACGCAACCACTTTGCTCTATGCAGATGACACAGCTCTCGTAACAACAGCACGAGACGTTGATACGGTGCTTGGGTTTGCTCAAAATCACCTTAACTTGGTTGACACGAGGTGCAGGAGATTACTAGTAACACGGGACCTTAACAAAACACAGATGATTCTCTTTAGACATCCAAAGCAAAGCCAGTTTGTCACACCCATAATTTCCTCAAGGCACAATCTTAGACTTTGGGGAGACCGACTACAGCTCCGTGACCGGATCGAATACCTCGGTGTGGTGTTTTCTCAAACACTTAACTGGAGGGCTGATCTAGACATAGCCTGTCATAAGGCCAGGAGCAGACTCAGACTACTCAATTCTCTTTATTGTAAATTCGGAAGAACACACCCACGCACACTCATTCACACATACAAAACATTCACCAGGCCGGTTATCGAGTATAGATCTAACATCTATATTACGATGCGCGACCACAACACACGAAGACTGCTTGCTTTGGAAAGAAGGATTTTGCGTAGAGTAAACAAAAAGCGATGCGATTACCCTTCTGCACTCATATATCACCTGTCGAATAATCAGCCCATCAATGAGAGACTTCTCTCTCTGAGCAGGAGTTACACAATTCGCAACATTTCTGGGAAAAAACCTCAGAGCCCAACGCATTCTTAAAACTGCCTGCTCATCCCTCGGCAATGTATACAGAAGACATCCTAAATCCAAACTCCCCTTCCTACCTACTATTTTACTGGACCTTCCCAGCAATCAACTCCTTGATGAATACATTGACATCCTTGAGGCAACTCCCCTCATTTATCGCCGTCGTCATTATAATTAAATGCTCACTTCGAGCTTGCCTAGACAGGGGGGATCGGTTTTCTGTGGTTTCCCGATCCCATTGCACATGATACCTGTCTATTGTAGAGCTTACAGCCACAGCTGCCCTCTCTCGTTGTGTTTTCCACAGTTATTAATATCAATGAACAATTATTCACTATATATACTAATTATTTTTTAGATTAATAAAATTCTGGAAAGAACCGTTTTACACATTGTCTTTCACCTCTGATTGTCCAGGCGCTTCTACGACGAAGACCACCAGTGAATCCATGACAAAATAAGAAACAGCCAATACACAACAAAAAAAAAAACACGTCCTAAAGAGGCAGAAGGCCTAAAACAGGATATCAAACACCAGACCCAAGAATATTAAATACACAGCTTTTGGTTAACCAACATCCAATTGACAGAGTGGACAGCTACACATACCTTGGTACCAACATTAACAGCCAAAGGGATCACTCCAGTGAAATAAAACAACGCATAGGAAAAGCGAGATCAGCGTTCATAATGATAAAGTCTCTTTTCAGAAGTCATGATTTACCACTTGCTACCAAAATCTCTCTCATTAGATGCTATGTATTTTCTACCTCATTATACGTAATATAGGCCTGGACACTTTCCGAAGCTTCCTTAAGAAAACTCGAGGCATTCGAGATGTGGTGTTACAGACGTATTTTAAGAATTTCATGGGTGGATCGTGTGACTAATGTTGAGGTCCTACATAGAATAGGCAAGGAATGCGAGATTATTAACACCATCAAAGAGCGCAAACTAGAATATCTTGGCCATGTTATGAGGAATGAACAGAGATACGGCTTGTTGCAACTCATTCTTCAGGGCAAGGTATTTGGAAAGAGAGGGCCAGGGAGAAGACGAATATCTTGGCTTCAAAACCTGAGAAAGTGGTTTAATACATCGACAACCGGACTATTCAGAATAGCAGCAAGCAAAGTTAGGATAGCCATGTTGATCGCCAACATCCGGAACGGATAGGCACCTTAATAAGAAGAAGGAATCTGGGTTACGGATCAGAAATTTCCTCAAGAATAGAGCAATCAAGAGCAGCCTTCTTGAAGATGAGGAAATTTCTGAGTAACCAAAGACTCAATCTGCAAATCCGATATCGGATGGTAAAATGTTATATTTAGTTTATTCTTCTTTACGCTTTTGACATGTGGCTTGGGGCACAAACTTAGAAATTGAAAGAACGAGTTGTTGCAGCTGATTAGGAAGGGTAAAATCGAAGGAAAAAGGGGTCCTGGTAGACGACAAATATATATATATATATATATATATATATATATATATATATATATATATATATACATCAGTTTAGAATGTCTTTCGACGTGGTCTGATACCTAAACACCATCTCTTTCTATCTTCGCAGTCGTTTGTTGTTAAATTTCTTTCGCTCATGGACCTGTTTACGCCGTGTTGCCATTCTAATCTGGGTCTTTCTCTTTTCCGTCGACCTATCTGTTGCCATTCTAATACTTTTTTGGGGAGTCTTGTTGCTGGCATCCGTTGAACATGCCCATTCCACCTTAATTGTTTCTTCACTATATCTTGAGTTATATTTCCTTCTATTCCCATACGTTGTTTTATTACATCATTTCTGATTCGGTCTCGTCTAGAAATACCTAAAGATCTTCTCATTGCATCCATTTCTACTGTTTCTATTCTCTTTTTGTTCTTTTCACTAATTCTCCATGTTTCAGCGTC